TTTCATTCAAGCTTAAAATATTACTTAAGTTTGAGTTAGATTATCAGTTTATTTTTAGTAACTTGTAAAATATTTTTAAGAATAGTCAATCCATGAGATTAATGAGAATATTTTCATAACATTGTGAAAAAATAAGTAGCCAATGATAAAAAAAAATTAAAAAGGTAGAAATTAAAATTTAAACAATGTTTATAATATCTCCAAACTTGTATCATCTTTAATCAAATACAGCATCCACTTCTGACTTTTAAAAATATTCTACAACTGGCACATATGAAATAGTCTTGGCAAATAAAGAGTACATTTGTCTTACTTGCTGTGTTTTCCTGTCAGATCTGTTATATTTAGCCCTGGCTTCACTAAAATAATATTTCCTAAAAAAATACGCAATGCTTGCAGAAACAGCAGAGAAACACTATTTTATCCAAGTGTTTAAGATTTTTTTGTCACTGGCAGCCCTGAAGTTTGCATGTTTTTTAACAATATATATATATATATATATATGCACATCCAAATGTTTTGTTTAGCATTGACAGTTTTACTAATTCTTGCTTTAGTGGAGAAATTGAAAATTAATTAGAGAGACTAAAATTTTGCGGGCAAATGAAACGTCTCCGCCACACAATCTCAACATGGCCAATTTTGACACCAGAAAAATCAAAAACTGTTTATATCACTGCTCGGGATCTGCAAAAAGGTACCTTTGTATCAAATCCCATGTAAATTGGCCAAAATACGAGAGAGTAATTGTAAAAAAAACAACAAAATTATGCTTTTTGTGGCATGTTGACAGCGTGTTGGGCACAATTACTAAAATGGGGAAGTCCAACATTTTTATTTGTCAATGTGTGTTGCTTGTAGAAAAGTGCTTTGCACCAAATTCCATGTAAATGAATCAAAAAAGGGCTAAGTAACTGACCAAAATCCCTAAAATTATGGATTTAACTTCTCAACCCCCCCCCCTAAAATATGCATATCCCACATTTTAGTATGTACATGTATGGGACCTGTAAAAAGTATCTTTGTACCAAACTTCAAATGAATCAACCAAAATACAGCATAGTAATTGTCAAAAACCTAAAATTATGCATTTTGTGGCAACTTGACCTTCCCCCCTATAATTAGTAAAAATGGAGAAGTCCACCATTTTTGTTTCTTAATGTGTGGGACCTGTAGAAAAGTATCTTTGTATCAAATATCATGTAAATTTGTCAGAATATGGCTACTTAATTGATTAAAAACTAAAAAATTATGTTTTTCTTGTGAACTCTGACCCCCTAAAAACTCAAAATGGGCATATCCAACTTCTTTGTATATCAGCGTGTTGGGCACATGAACATTTACATTTGTGCCAATTTCCAGCTTTCTTTCTGTAAATATGACTGTACAGAAGCCCATAAAATCATTGAAAAGGCCCAAATCAAAAGTATAACCCTACCAAGTTTCAAGTCAATCTGTTGAGAAATGAAGGTATGGCAGTCAATTGACAAATGTTTGGAAGAAGGAAGAAGAAACAATAGAAAAACAGTATGTCTCTGCAGAGATATAATTAGTGTTGATTGTGTTCTTGGCAAGAAAAGAAGTCTAATCACATTGTTACAGTCAGTGTTGCCACATCTATTCATGATCTATATGATGACCATGCATCTTGAAAATAGCCCTGAAGTGGAGTTTCAATTCCAAAAGATTTTATCATGAAGCTGTCATGTCTAAAACACCCATAAGCCACCTAGTGTCTGAGGATGTCAGTTTCCCAGTGCTCATTTCAAAAGTTTGAACACAAAATTTCATGGATAACTGCATCCTGTGACTTGACCAGTATATCTCTGAATAGCAATAATATCCATTTCATTCTTGAGTTGCTTGAGTTATGCGGTGGTTGTGTTGTGGAAGAAGCTTGGTACACTTGACTTCAATTGAGATGCTTTTTCAGACAAAGATACTTCTTGATTTTATTGCGTACTGTTGTTTGGGTCATGTGAACAGTTTGTTTCACTGACTTCAGTGTTCATGAATTTACAACTATTACAAGACAACGTACTTTGCTTACTCTAGCTGCTATTAAACATATTGCAGGTCTCTTTCTCGATGATCCTGGTGCCCCATGTTAACTCATATTCCTTTATTTTCTAATAACATTAATCACAAGGGGTATCCCATTACTGGCAATTATAAATCTCTGATCTGAGCACATCTTTATGACCTGAGCATATTAATATTATGCACCAGAAAGGGCTGCTATCTACCTTTTCCAAAACTGATAAATTTTGTTTTTAGCATCCCACTACTGCTAAGAAATGGCAACAAATGTCAAAATGTACTTGCTTGTGATACATACCACCAATTTATATTTATGGTTGTTACGTGTCTTGCTGATCTGAATGCTGAAAAATTAATTTAACATAATCAACATTCTGCATATATCCATCTATCCAATAAACTAGATAGGCATATCAAATTCCTTTCTAAATGCATCAAACTTTCATTGCATATATTATTTTGTTTGTATATTAATGTTCATTTATTAAGAACAAATATATTCTGACATTTAAGAAGCTTTTAAAAATGGGCAACAGCTTCTTTATACTTTAATTTCAGTCTTCACTTGATGGAGCACTGATGTAACATGATGGGACTGGTGCAGGTAGTTAGCTTATTTGTTTAATTTTGTTCAAAACTACATGAAGGATATTTAATTGTGAAGTGATTGACTAGAGAGAAGGCATATAGTCAACACCATACACAACCAACTCTTTTCATACCTGAGGGATATGACTCTCACTCTTACAATGTAGCCATGGCCTCAAAGTGAAAAATGCTCAGTCCAATTTATGTTATACCAATTCTTTTTAGTCTACTACTTGTACCTTTTTCAATAACAGTGAGCTCCACATAACCCATCAGGAAAGACTACTGGCAAACAATAAGTATCTTGAACAACATAATCCAACCCATCGGAGAAGACTACTGTCATACAGTACATATCTTGACCAACATAATCCAACCAATCGGAGAAGACTACTGGCAAACAATAAGTATCTTGAACAACATAATCCAACCCATCGGAGAAGACTACTGGCAAACCATACATATCTTGAACAACATAATCCAACCCATCAGAGAAGACTACTGGCAAACCATACATATCTTGACCAACATAATCCAACCCATTGGAGAAGACTACTGGCAAATTGTACATATCTTGACCAACATAATCCAACCCATCGGAGAAGACTACTGGCAAACAATAAGTATCTTGAACAACATAATCCAACCCACTGGAGAAGACTACTGGCAAACAATAAGTATCTTGAACAACATAATCCAACCCATCGGAGAAGACTACTGACAAATCGTACATATCTTGAACAACATAATCCAACCCATCGGAGAAGACTACTGGCAAACTGTACATATCTTGAACAATATAATCCAACCCATTGAAGAAGACTACTGTCATACAGTACATATCTTGACCAACATAATCCAACCCATCGGAGAAGACTACTGGCAAACAATAAGTATCTTGAACAACATAATCCAACCCACTGGAGAAGACTACTGGCAAACAATAAGTATCTTGAACAACATAATCCAACCCATCGGAGAAGACTACTGACAAATCGTACATTTCTTGAACAACATAATCCAACCCATCGGAGAAGACTACTGGCAAACTGTATATATCTTGAACAATATAATCCAACCCATTGAAGAAGACTACTGTCATACAGTACATATCTTGAACAACATAATCCAACCCATTGGAGAAGACTACTGGCAAACTGTACATATCTTGAACAACATAATCCAACCCATCGGAGAAGACTACTGACAAATCGTACATATCTTGAACAACATAATCCAACCCATCGGAGAAGACTACTGGCAAATTGTACATATCTTGAACAACATAATCCAACCCATCGGAGAAGACTACTGGCAAACTGTACATATCTTGAACATTATAATCCAACCCATTGAAGAAGACTACTGTCATACAGTACATATCTTGAACAACATAATCCAAACCATCGGAGAAGACTACAGGCAAACCATACATATCTTAAACAACATAATCCAACCCATCGGATAAGACTACTGTCATACAGTATGCACCTTGAACAATATAATCCAACAGAATTCTTAAACTTAAATATCATACAAGCACAAAAAAGGAAGAGACATATTAAAACCCTAGTTCCTATACTGAAAATAATATACAAAACCTTTCTTACATCAGTAATCTTACTGTGATCATGGATTTCAAGTCATATATAGATATACATGTTGCAACACTAAGTTTTTAAATTAATCCTATGCATGGCCTGTCTGTATTAGGATTCATGAGACATTTGTTATCTGTATTTTTAAAGCAATAGGCATATAACATTAAGCCATTATACTATGCCTCAATATAAAAATTATCAAGGAAGTATTGTTTTTGTAGTTAGGCAACAGTTATTAATATGTAAGCTCTTAATAAAAAAAAAAAGATTTCTCAAAATAGTTCTTTTTTTTGTGAATATTGTAATAACAATAGACGTACAATAGACATGAAACTCGTACATCTTTTTCATGCTTAATTAATAAACTATGCTTTGTTTTAGCTTACGCATGTGTACTAATAATCTAATAACATTTACAAACAGTTTATTACATTTTTCATTTATCATATCCCTTGTATTCTCTTCTGCAACTAATACAGAAGTTACTTTCTGAAACACGTGTAAAGTTTATGACCGTGAATAATTTTTAACGTAAACCTTTCAATGACTCCATGAATATTAAAAAAAAACACTCAAAGAAATATACCTATTGTTACTTTTATAACGTTAAACTAGTTCAATTTGTTAGCATATGGTGACACCTAAATAAGAAAATTTAAGTGTGGGGATTTTTTTTTTCAGTTATTGATTTGTAATAACAGATTGCTGAACAATTGATTGTGACTGTATCTTCATTTTCAAATTATTCCAAAAATAAATATTATACACACAATAATTATAAAGCTTTTATTTAAAGAAAGAAATACAAAATTCTTCATACTCTGAAATAACTTTTGTTCATGGAATTAGTTGTTTGTAATTCCCAGATTTATTATGACAAAGTTGTTAATCAGGTATTTACAATAGTACAAAAACCCAAAGAGATAAAAGGGATAAGAGTATTTAAATCTATTCTCAAGTAGTTAACATTTCCAAGTGTTTCACTAGTCATTCTCAAAACAAACTAGAAACAGAAATAAATATAAATCACTGTGCATTTGTAGCTTAATAAGAATACTGTCAAATCATAATCATTTAAAGAGTAATATATAAAACACAGTGAGCATGATTTAAAAAAATGCTTAATACAATAAAAATAGGACCTGGTAGAAATGAAATAATTTTGTAATTATTATACATACATACAGAGTGCCTGGATATTATGTTAACAAATTTATTAATAGTTATTTCTGAATGTGTTGAAACTCCTGTTGGGCCCTTGTGCTTTTACTGGTCTAATAAGTCATTTAGTAGAGATTCAAACTCCTGAAATACAATTAAATAACTGTGTTAACATAATTTCTGGACACTTGATTGACTGATCAACAAATGTCAGTACAGTAATTTTGTTGGTCATGTGCAATAACTAGTTAAGTTACCACTCTTTAAGCAGGACTGGGAGATTTCAAAGCTCCCATGAAGAGCACTGTGTTGTATGTCTTTTCAATGATCAGAAAAAGGAATGGGTGATCAGCACGGAAAACTTCAGGTTTTTCAGCAAAAAAAGCAGATGTTAGTTGAATAGAAACTGCTGTGGCTGCAGCTGCTTCAGTTCCTTCTTCATTAACTTCAATGAAAGTTTTATGAACAACATCATCCACAAAGAGATCAGAACATCCTGTAATACCAGAGAGATCAGCTTGACCAGATAAAAACAGATCTTCCATTCCCATTTGAAACAAGATTTTGGAGAGAGAAAACATATTTTCAAGTTTAAACTTAGGTAGCCAGACTTGGACAGACTGTCGGTTTAGCTTGGCTAGCAAATCACTCAATGCCTTTGGTGTAAGAGCCTTTTCAACTTTTTCAATTCCATCTATCTCATCCGGAAGGAGAATCAGCATTCGAGTGAGCCCATCTGCATAGAGGAGTTCAAGGGCTTTGCATCCTAATTCCTTACTTCCAGCAAAACCAAATTCTTTGTTTCCTTCAAACATTAGTTCCACTTCAATCGAGTTGTCTTTGCTGATGTAAAATGGTGCTTTGCTTGTATTAAATCTTGAAAACTTGTATGTCCATGTCTTCTTGAAGTATATTGCACAAGTGATAATAATTCTTGTAAGGTGATTGACAGCTGATTCCTGGATCAAATCTTGGATTTTTCCTTTTGTCATTTCTGCTACCCACCTGTTGATGGAGGCTGCAGCTTCCCCTGGATTATTCACAAAGTCAACACTAGCACAGGAAGATCCATACTTTTCTTCCAGAGCATTAGAATACGTGGGTAAGACACTGAAATCATTCTGCAGGTAAAGACGGTTAGCTACATACAGGTCTCCACTTTTTGAAGCTTTACTGAGATGTGTGATCATTTCATGAAATCCATCATGAATATCTTTCTCATCAAGTTCTCCAAATCCAAGAGTGACTTTCATCTGTGAAGCCGTATTGTGCCTCGCTCCTACTAACGTCATTCCCAGAGCCGAAAAAACATTGAAAGGAGAAAAGAAAATATCCTTACCTAGGTTCTTCTCTGAGCATGCTTCATAGAGGCGTATGGAAAAATCCATACAACTGTTAGAAACCTTTACTGCAGCTGACATCTTTAACTTGTCTTCTGAACTACACATTTCTATTTAAAAGAAATCACAGAAACATAAAACAAACTATGATTTTACAAGTATATATACTTAAACAATAATTCACATTTTTTAAAGATTTTGTTTGATTATATTTCAGACAGATCATCAATAGCAGTTACAGAAAGTTTATCTCCAATGCTTGTAACCCTTATAATATATTCAATGAGTATAAGAAAAAACTCACCATGTAACATTATTAAATTTCTAGCAAATTTATAATTTCTTTCATGTGAAATTGTGCTTTAGACATAATACTATCTGCCGTATTTGTGTGGAACATTTAATCAGCTAGTCTCCAAAATATTTGAAATCTGGCCGTGAAACATACAAAAGTACCTATTACTATGCATAATTTCCATAATTCTTTCAAATGCTCCTATACTGAACTTGTTTTCTTATATTCAATCTATGTATATAAAGAGAAATAATAATTACACTAAAAGAGAAACTGTTCATATGTCTTTTGATAATTCTTAGAAACAATACTGATAATTTATTGTATGATGAAATGCAAATTCATGACCATCATTTGTGCTAAATCTTTAAAGTTATATATAAATTTTTATTGATTACATTTGCTGATAGTGTATGATCGACATTTTGATATCTTTTTCTAGACTGCCAATTACCTTTGCTGGTGGCTTACATAGTAGGTCTGAGGTTTGTAATGTAGTCCTTCTTGAGACTGCTTATTCAGGTTTGGTGTGTGTGGTACCATCAATGTGGTTGTGTGGTGGACTGAAAGGTCTGGGCAATGGTGTATATAGAATGCAAATATCCAAACTTTATTGAAATCAAAGCTTCAGTCAGAATTAGGAGGAGGTTGCTCAGTTTTAATGAAGAATTCTTCTGAAAAGCCTCATGTTTGGAAATTATGCAGTACTGAGTCTATGGATAGTGTAATAGATACGATCAATTTCTTCAGCAAGATGTTGCATAGAGGAGTGAATGATGCTATAAACTGTAAATCAGAAGAGCTACATAAAAACAAACAAACAACCTTCAGATACTTAGGGATTGAAATAAATGGATGGTCCTTTCAGGAACACTATCTCAGGCTAGGTGCAGGAATGAATTACCAAGTCAGATCCAAGGCTTAAATGAAATATTATCAGGAATAGCTTATAGCAATAGATGGATGGTTGGACCTGTATGATAATTTTCAGAGTAAGGGTGAATTATAAGCTAAGGATAGGCTCATTCATTGAAGGTAGCGTAAACTTAACTAGGTTAACTTACAAAGTGGTAACGAGGCTTTAGAAATTAAAAATAAGCAAACTGACATGATAGTCTTCTTTCCTTAAAGGGAAAAATTCAACAGTTTCACAAAAGAATCTTTAAAAAATTGGATTTCATCCTTTAGTAAAATATTATAACACTCAAGGATAACAAGGAGCTCCTTTGGCTATTGTGACTGTGCCCTTCATTTCATTAAATACCCATCTGCCTATATCCAATATTGATGTTTTAAGTATTCCCCAAGCCTTATCCTTAACTCTCTCAATACTATTGCATCTAACACGACTAAAGGCAGTCTATTCCAAAGGCTGACCACATTGTTTGAAAAATAAGACACCAAACATGGATTTACCCAAGTGAAACCTTGCCTTGTTTACCTAGCTTTTTTTTAAGAATGTTTATTCTTACCTTGGTGAGAGAAATGATGTGGATGTGACATATCTAGATTTTCAAAAAGCTTTTCATAAGGTGTTGCACAAAAAGATTTGCTACAAAATTAGATTGGTAGGGACTGTGGAAAGACTAGTTAATTAGCCTGGGTGGTTAAATGGGAGAATGTAAATTGTTACTAGTGGAGTGCTTCAGAGTACTTTGTTTGACCTTTACTTTTTTCTTTTCACATTTACTGATAGAAATTAATTAGTAAGGTTTGCTGACAACATATAACTCTTGAGTATTTCAAAATGCATTGAGAATATTGAGGTATTACAGAATGACTTGGATCAACTGGCAGACAGGTAGTTGACAAATGACCTTATAATACATTAAGGAAATTCATTTGGGTTATAATACTTTTGATCACATATTTAATATACATGAGAACTCACTCAGTAGTGACTGAAGAAAAGGATTTTAGCATAGTGGTAGATAAATTACTCATGTCTTTGAAGCAGTGCTGTATGGATAGAACTTAGAAGTAAAACTAAAATTTTATGGTATATTTATAAAAATGTTAATTACAAGTCAAAATAGGTAATTATCTCCCTAAACAAATCACTAGATAGACCAATAGACTAACATGGAATAATGTGAAATTTTTTTCCCTCCTTATCTGAAAATGGATATCGACTTATACCAAAGAAGTCTAAGAAGGACTACTACTAAGTACCAGGAAGATTCCAGGGATGGAAGTGTTATCTTACAAGAATAATTTATGACATTGTATCTTATTTTCCCATGAGAAAAGAGTAAGAAGTATTCTTATCCAAGTTATTGAAGTTTACACAATTATCCAGGAGATTGAGAGAAGAAATGCTTCTGATTACTTTGTGCTGTATTCTGAATATAACATTAATAGGCTAAGACTAAGAGAACACAAGTCTAATATCTGGAAAATGATAGGTTTGGCTCAAGTGCAGAGTGCTTGACTTATGGAATGACTGTCATCAACAGTAGTACACCAGCACTTTACAATAGTTTAAAATGGGGAAATCAATAACTCCTGGAAAATATAGATTGGGTTTTTGTTTTTTTCTTTTTTCCAAGGGTGTGCATGTTCAGGGACAGCCTTGATGGATCAAGTGGACCCTTGCTGTCCTTATATAACCTGTTTTCCAGTGGTGGTAATACTAATAAAGACAAGGGTAAAAAGCACAATGGAAAAAAAGACAAATTAAATTACACAAACTGGTAAAAAAGTAACAAAAAAAGTCCTATAGTTTAGGAATGGTACAAAATAACAAATTCCAAGACAAGCATTTTTTTCATACAGATGTACAAAGCAAACAAATTATAAAAAAGGATAAAAAGAACAGTAGGGTTTAATGGAAAGTGTTTAACAATAATGTGAAGCCTATAGGGGAAGCCGTTGATTACAGAACTTTATTAATGACAGCTTAATTATTAACTCAGTTTGTTTCCATGGTTTCAATAATTGGTTTGTTTGTTTTTAATTATGCAGAAAGCTACACAAGGGCTATCTGTGCTCTGCCCCCCATGGGTATCGAAACCCGGTTTATAGCATTGTAAGTCTGCAGACATACCACTGTGCCACTGGGGGCTTCAATAATTGGTTTAGGCTTGGTTTAGTTATTAGTGTTATTGATACATTTCTAAATACTTTGCATTTTTACCCGTTTGTGTAATTTTCTTTTCTACCTGTCTTTTTTTACCCTTGTCTTTATTAGTATTACATAGATTCCCTATTTTCGATATTCAACTACCTCATCTAGTGCTGTCAATATAAGTTCTATTTGTAAGAGACAGTTGGTTCTGAGAATCTGAGTTCAAGTCCAGTCTAACTTCTATTTCTAATTAATTTAACTTCTAAGTCTCTCTAACCCAACTACATTACATGATTTTTAATTTTATAAAAGCAGAACAAAAGCTCAAATGGTATTTGTTTTTTAAATTTGATCACCGCCTAGAAAAATAACTTTAGGTACTAATTAAACATTATAACTCTGATACCGTATTCATACGTAGAAGTGCAATTTTAAAGAATAGCGTTTTACATCCTTATGTAACAGCCCATTTTTATCTCCATATGACTTGCACTATCCAGACTACAGTACACTGGTAGTGGTAGTATTACTATTAGTTTATTATTGGTACCAATATATCTTAACTGTACTTAAAAGTTAATTACGTTATATTATCATTATGCATACTATCAGTATTACTAAAATACAAATGTACTATACAGTCATTATCATATTCATAGTGTTTCTCTTACCGTTCAAAAAATTGTCTATATACTATTGCTTCTACTTCTAGTGAAGTTTTACGATCACCCTACATAGATTCAGTGTACGATAGTATATACAATTATGTCACTAGGCGTAAAATTCTAGGAGAAAAAAAAAGGAGCTAATCTTCTTCATACGTGTAATATATAATATAGTTGACTATAAAAATTAAAACGCACACATACAAATATCATTTTGATGGTTGTAAAGAAAAATTCATTAAACAGACAAGTAAATTGATAATTTTACAATTGTAAATTTACCTCAGACCTCGTATTTTTCTTTTTTACTCCCCATTCTATTAAATGTCAAAAAGACATTACACGCGCTAGTATTGAGGGGCGGGTGCCGATCGCCGAATCAGCTATTAAAACGAAATCCTTTTGGATATATTTTGTTCATTATTGATCAATCATATAAATCGCATAGCTTGATTAGACTACCCGATTGCTTTAAAAGCTACCAAATAATTTCTAATCATGATCATCTTGCCAACAAGAACTAATGTCGTTATGTCGTTTATTTATTCATTTGAATTTTTTGGTTGGTTGGTTGTTAAGCCAAAAGCTTAAGGACCCAAGCATAAGGGACGTGCTCCAATGAAGTTATATCAAGTTGGCGCGCCAATGGAAAGAGTAGCTGTTGACATTGCTGGTCCTTTGCCCCAAACTCGTGCTGCTAACAAGTACATTTGTGTGGTGATGGATTATTTCCCCAAGTGGCCTGAGGCATATGT